CATCCTAGAGCAGATTCTTCCCATTGTTATGAGTATGACTGCTTTGTATTCTGTTTCTCTCTCTCTCTCTCTCTCTCTCTCTCTCTCTCTCTCTGGAGTAGATCTTTCTCTCACTTGAGTATGAAGAACCCTAGTTCCATGTGTTAGGGATCATGATTGTAATGACTTGGGATTGTTATACTGTTTGGTTTTAATCGAATGATGCATGATTCATTGAATTGATTGAAGTCTGATCAGCTTTTCTTGATTTCTGCTGCAACCTGAGATAGATAGAATCTGATTAGGTTGTTAGAGCTTCATCATTCGGTAGTAGTAGCTTGGCTATACGAGAGTTAGTCAGTCTACTGCTTTGTACTAGAATCCAATTCCAGTAGTGGAGTTCTGTGCTTATTGCTTCAGCTTTCTATCCCGGTGAAGACTAGTCGTATGTCGGGTAGTTAGACTGAGAGGGCTTGGTCAGCTTAAGAGATTCCAAACTACTGTCGAATCTTCCGCAGTTTAATCAACAGTAAATCAACCCAGGGTAATTACAACTGTGACCTAACTAAGGAGCTAGGGGGACTCATTCCCGAGTGACTCTTCCTTTGCTTTAGAAAACCGACTCATTTCCTTCTTTCTTACTGCTTTTAGTTAAAACAACAACCAATCGACTTAGTTGGCTAGATAATAGATACTCACGGAGTAGGCAGTAGATCTAGACCCCGGGTTGATAATTAGAACTTGTCACTTTACTGCATTCCTGGACTGCGATTACACTTGGTCGCGGTTTGGTGTTTTGTCGTAGCGTGTCAACTGGGAGTGTTGGATGTCCGGCGGTCGGCCAGGTGCTGCGAGTTCATCTAGGCCCGAAGCCACCGGTTCAGTTTGCCCCCTCGCCATGCTTGGGATCTTATGACCCATTGAGTCGACTTTGATGGGGGAGGTCAGCTGGGTTTCTTTGACTCCCTCTTCCGCAGCTTGTGTAGAAGCAGGGGCGATGGATGGTCCTTTTTCCACCCTTCTGTTTTCGTTTTGTATGAGACTGACCGAGGTGGTTTTCTTTCGGAGCTCCTGCTGCTTCTTTAACCTTTTCCCGCTATGCTCCCTTCACATGGGTACTCCTAGTAAATGTGCTGATATTTGCCACATGTTCTACCTCCGGTTGTGAGATGCCGCCTTCTTCCACTTCAAGTACTTCAAACTGGGAGCCACTAGGTGTTGCAACATTCTTTTTACCTGTACGTGTGATAGCCTGTTGATCATCTCCTCCGTTTTCTGTCCTCTTGGGCTTCCTCTTCGCTATCACCCATTCTCCATAGGTCTGATCCGGCTGCTTCACTTTAGGTTCCGCCGATTTCTCCGCTACATCAGCTTCCATAGGTTCATGCATTTTATTGCATGTGCATGTGCCTTTCTCAGAGTACGTTCCACAATTCACACAAATCTTCTCCAAACCCTCATACTGAATATAGTACTTTTCCTAGGAATGGCAATGGGGCATGTCCGGGGCGGGTATCTCGATACCCATACCCGCCCCATGGCAGGTCGGGTAATTTATCACGGGGCGCGGGTCGGGGCAGGTCGACCCATTGGGTATGTAATTTATGCGAAAAACATTAGAAACATTCGTTATTTTCATTAAAAGACTAAGAAAGAAACCATAATATGATAAAATGTAGTTAAATTATTGAAGAAATTGAGGTTTTCACTTATTCACATTTTTATTATAGCTAAAATATAATGTAATAAGAGGAAAATCCTAAGTAATTTGACTAATATTATATGTAATATAGGCAAGAACGGGTCGAGAATGGGACGGGTCAGGGCAGGTCGGGTCGATGAGAGGTACCCATGCCCGCCCCGCCCCGCCTACGGGGTGGGTTTGACCTGCCCCAAAACAGGTCAAACAGGTCGGGTAATTCGGATCAGGTCGAAATTGCCATCCCTAACTTTTCCCCGTTAATGGAGAACTGTGATAATAAAGGTTTGGTAAGGTCCACCTGAACACATACTCGTGCATAATCATTACGTGCTGCAGTGCGCGTGGCTTCATCAATTCGGATAGGTTTCCCAATTTTGCTTCCAATCTTCATAACAACATCTAGATGGAAGTAATGTATTGGTATTTCGAGGAGCCTAGCCCATACCACCATCGATGAGACTTCGTGTTCGTAGGGATTAAAGTTTTTATCCCACATGTGCATTGTTAGATAGTTTGGCCCTATCATCCATGATCCGTTGGTGACTGCTCGGTCATAATCCAATCCGCTCGTAAACCGGACTAGGAAATATCCATTTTCCATGACGTAACCTGAATGCCTCCCGCATTTGCCCAAATCGAGTTGAGGCGGATGGAGACGGCGGTGTAGGAAACCATTTTCCCCAAGGCTTTGACCACCAAAGCTGATCGAAACGCTGTGCAGTATTGGCGTTCCTCCGCCGGAGAGAAGTATATCGGTGGGCATTTTGGGTCAATTTTCCCATCAAATCCCATCTCTAGGCCATCTTCTCTCATCGCCGCCGCCGTATCCTCAGAGTCCGAGTCCGCCGTATACCATTCGTCAAGCCGTGGGCTTTCTCCGAATAGTCTTCTCGCAGCCCCCTTCCTTGGTTCTTAAGTCTTAACGTTCGGGGAAGGATTAGTTGGCTGAGTATGATGCTCTTGATTAATATTTATATGCTCGTCGGTCCCTGAATCCAGGGTCACTTTCGGCTCCATGGGCTTCGCCCTTTTCTTTTGATGTTGAACCTCCCGATCACTCTTAGGATTCGGGGAGGATGATTGCGTTGGTGGCCGTCGATGACCGAAGATGATTTACGGTTGATGGGAAGGCTTGGGTCCGCCCCCTCCCGCAGGCGGCACGTTGTCCGCCGACATGCGAGCAAACCTTAATCGCTAGTCAGAATTGCCAAACTTTGCCTCCCTGAAATCTCGGAGCAAAACTTAATTTGGATACTGTGAAATAGCCATTTGAGTATTGTTTAGAATTTACAAGTAAAACCAAGGTTGTCAACCCGCGGGTTGACCCGCGGGTCGACCCACTTTGACCTTAACCCGGTGAGAAAAACGGGCCGCACACACCTGCCGGGACGACTGTTATACGGTACCGAGTTGAAGGTCAAATTGTATAATTTTTTTCTTTGGTTTGCGAAATGCGCATATTTTCCGATTTTTCTTTTCGCCTAACTCAATCTTTGGAATCTTAAGTTGAATATTTGAATATTGATGTATATAAGTGTGTGTGAATTTTCACTTTATGCTAGATCTAAGTACGATATGTTATTTTGGTGTAATATTATATGTTATAACTCATATGTTAGATAAGATTTGATATAATTTATAAGGAAAAGTACAATATAATGACTCTTTCCATATTTCCGGGCCAAACCGGGCTAAAACGGTTGACCCATTAACCCTTGACCCACTAGCTCGACCGGGTCTGGGTCAACCCGCGGGTTGACAACCTTGAGTAAAACCCTTATTTTACCCAAATTTAAGTAAATGAATATAAATCTGTCCAAACCAAACATTACCCATATCTGACCTAACGGATAATCATTTGGATTTCGGCAATACCCACTTTGTCATCCCTAAACAAGTTTGTTATTAAGCTTAATTACCAATGCGTTACTTTACCTAAATTTTAGTGACTGTTTTGTGATTGACCATACCATATTACCATTATTAATCCTCCATAAAATATAAAACAAATTAAAAAGGAAATTTTTTTGGATCTCGCAGAAATCGAGGAGTAAATTGACCTTCCTTTCAAGTTTTCATTCATCATAATGTATGAAATTTATCTAAATTAGGCGTTCATATGTTGTGGTCTGGACTTTACATATACAAATATACACTATATGAGCAATATTGAGCTTTATATTTTATGAGTCTAAAAGGATGAACGTTAACTCTTCCAGTGATTATGCAAAGTATTATGTGTATGTAATATATGTTAGATATATGACTAATTACTTAACTGGTTAATTTGGTTTGACTGGTTAGGAGTGTCTGAAACCTAATCAAACCACCTAAACCAAACAAGCTAAAAACTTTAACCAAACCAAACCAAACCAAATTATCCAAATAGTACCGGTTAAAACGATTAACACGGTAACCAAACCTTTTGAACACCCCTACAAACATTACCCATATCTGACCTAACGGATAATCATTTGGATTTCGGCAATACCTAGGGATGGCAATCAAACCCATGGCCGCGGGTATCTGACCGCCCCCCGACCCAGTCAACGTGGGGAATCCCCGCATTGACCGGGTATGGGGCGGGTATGGGTAAAACCCGCAAAAAGTTTGATGGGTATGGGGCGGGTATGGGTTTAGCCTCCCCCTAAACCCATACCCATACCCATACCCGCCCCACCAAAAACATTTATTCACATATAAAATGTACATTAATTAAATTGTAATCTATCATTAATAGCAAGGGTAACTCATGAAAATAAATAGTAGAAATACAATTGAGTGACCACCCAAATCAAAACATAATTCATTTCCTCCAAATCTTCTTTCATTCTTTGACTTTTTCCCTCATGTTTACAACATTATGTTAGTAAGTTATTTATTACTTAATAGATGTACCAAAGTCAGTGAATAATGATTTGGCTTATATTGTTACTCTATCTTATGGATTATTGGATGTTTTAGACTAAGATGCTTAGAATAGTATTAAGAATAACTGTTTCTTTGTCGACTTTATGAAATAGTAGGTGCGTTTAGTATTATAATTGAAATTTTTGTATGTAAAATTTTAGCTATTATAATGTAGGATGTACGGGGCGGGTATTACCTATGGGTACCCAAAACCCACGGGTATGGGTAATGGGTTTGCAAATCCTTCCCCGCATGGGTATGAGGCGGGTATGAGTTTGAATATTTGAAAGCGGGGATGGGGATGGTTTAGGCAAACCCGCCCCAAACCCGCCCCATTGCCATCCCTAGCAATACCCACTTTGTCATCCCTAAACAAGTTTGTTATTAAGCTTAATTACCAATGCGTTACTTTACCTAAATTTTAGTGACTGTTTTGTGATTGACCATACCAAATTACCATTATTAATCCTCCATAAAATATTAAAAAAATTAAAAAGGAAATTTTTTTGGCATCTCGCAGAAATCGAGGAGTAAGAGAGCGGAGGCCGGACGGAGCACTTTCTTTCTATCACTCGGTTTCTTTCTTCCCTCGATCTCCCTCTCCATTGGCCTTCCCAAATCCCGTTCCTCCATTACCAAGAAGAAGACAAGAAGAAATCACGACAATTCAATCTTCTCCTCCCCGGAGCTCCCACTCCCGCTCGGATCTTCATCTACCCGCATCCGTCCTTCTCCACGGTACGTTACTCGGGAACCAGTAGACTGGTACAATTTCAAGTTTCCAATCCGAATTCGTGCTTCTTTCTTGATTCAGCTTCGAAATTGACGATCCTCTCTCTATTTGACCTCACCAACAGATGCAGAAAGATACGGAGGAGCCGGCCAGGCAGCAGGAAGATGGTTGCGAGACTGAGACGCAGTCGTCCTCCTCATCCGTCGCCGCCGCCAATCTTTCTCAGTCCGAACACGAACAACCGCCGGAAGAGAATTGGTCCAGTTTCGCCGACAACGATATCATGCAACAGCACTCCGATATCAGGGATGCTGAAGCCCATAAACTGCCTTTCCTCGGCGATAAGGCACCGGCGCTTCCCTTTCCACTCTCTATTTGCTTCGTATCTTCTCTTCTCATCCCTAATTCTTCACTTTCTTTGCAGGAGCCTCTTTCAGCATTAGCCGCCGAATATCAGTCCGGCAGTCCTATTCTTCTGCAGAAAATAAAGGTCGCTTCCCCACCTTTCCGACTTCACTCTCCTTGAACAATTGCCTCCACTCTTTTCTTCACTTTTCTGGGTATATGTTTCATTCTAGCCCATCTTTGCTCCCAACAGCTGCTCTCCGATCAGTATGCTGCCATCAGGCGAACTCGGGGAGATGGCAATTGCTTCTTCCGCAGTTTTATGTTTGCCTATCTCGTATGCACGTCTTACCCTTCATTCTCATTTTCCCTTTCTGTTATTTGACCTTATTGATTTCACGTATATGATAGGGTGGGTCATTGATTCGCAGGAACACATCCTTCAAACGCAGGATCGCACAGAAGTTGATCGTGTCAAACTGAACGTTGAAGAATGCAGGAAAACCCTTCAGAGTTTGGGTTATGCTGACTTTACCTTCGAGGACTTCTTTGCGGTAACCATATCCATACATGTCTTTATGGGTGCTCCTAATCTAATTCCATTATAGACAGAAGAATGGGCCTGGTTTGGGAGTTTGAAATGAGTATGCCTCTACAAAATTGTGGAATTTTGGGATGGGGCAATATATCATTATGTTGTCGGAGTGGATTTGCAGACCTGATTAGCATTCCTCGTGTTTAAGCTTTTCATGCTTTATACATCTCTTTGTATGCAACTAATAACTGTTAATTTTGTTCAATTGTCAAACTCTACAGCTATTCCTTGAGCAGTTGGACAATGCCCTTCAAGGAAATGATGATTCGATAAGGTTTTGACTCCTCCATTCTCCATTGGGTTGTGACGAAAACCTCAAATTCATATGAAATCGTCTGTGATTATGCCCTTCCTGAGCGTGCAATTAACATCATCCTTTTGATCCTTTCTTTTTGGCAGCCATGAGGAGCTTGTAACCAGAAGTAGAGATCAGTCAGTATCAGATTACAGTAAGTAACTCCAAAGGTCATCTACTTATGAATGAAAATTTCCCCCAATGTCATGTTGCTTGTGGTTGCCATAACTATTTGTTTGAGTACTCCTAACAAAATTGTGGTGGGCAGTTGTCATGTTTTTTAGGTTTGTAACCTCTGGCGAGATAAGAAAGCGGTCAGCATTCTTTGAACCGTTCATTCTGGGTTTAACAAATGCCACAGTAGAGCAGGTTCGTCAAAATATATTGGTTTCACAATGTATAGTACACATTTTATTTGACATCGTCTTTCAGAATTTTTGTGATATTTATGTTATGGGCTTGAGAGAAATATTATCTATTCTTGGGTTTCAGTCACTTCCACTCTTTGAGCAATCTATTCTGAGGGCCTGCAATATCCGGACTTGAAACTCAAAAATTATTTATTATTATAAATCCGTCTGACCCCCTTGTTTGTGGAAACCAATCCTTTTTCAAGTTTCCAGGATAATAATAGTTCCTAAATAATTAGAACCTCTGCAATTAGCCTAAACTCAGTTACTTCACAAACAAAGAATATGGAAATCCTATATAAGATAGGGAACCGAAATGTAGATTACAGAGCTCAGTCTTCCTTCTCAGACCTGCAGTTATTCTGCTTAGTTCACAAGAGTATACATTGTAAGATATTAGCGCTTAAAGATATTTGTGATGCTTCTGCTGCAGAAGAAGCTTCTTCCTGTATGAGTTTTATATTTCATGTTTGTGCTTGGCATCAATGAATGCAGCCGTACGAACAGTCAGTAACTCCAGATTTGGTATGCAAGACCAACAGTTTATCTTTAGGACTGATATTATTGGGTGCCTTTTTGTTAGTTTTGCAAGTCATCAGTGGAGCCTATGGGTGAAGAGAGTGACCATGTTCACATTACCGCTCTATCAGATGCCCTTGGGGTTCCAATTCGTGTTGTATACCTTGACCGCAGTTCTTGCGATACCGGTGAAGTTGCTGTAAACCATCATGATTTTGTGCCTGCTTCTGACGGTAATCCTGCAAAGGTCACTGAAGGCACTACCAAACCCTTTGTCACATTGCTCTACCGCCCTGGTCACTATGACATTCTCTACCCAAAGTGAACAACTGCTGATTGTAGGAGAGGGGTAAGCTCTTATTTCCAAAAGATTACAGATTATCAGAGCATCATTTACTCTCGGCTCACATATTTCATATTTATCTGATCAGCAAAATATTATCATGCTCGTGTTTCTTAAGCTCTTATCATATGATGCAGACTGTCGATAATACCCCTGTGAAACCGTTCAGCAGTCTTTGGCGGAGTCCAAACTGTGAAAAGCTGAGACTGGCAGATTCCTGTACCAGTGCATGCTGTATCATCGATGAACATTCAAGTGCGTACGAACACCATCGATAGGGGCTAGGAGATGTGGTCAGAATTCTTGTGGCAGGCATGAGTTTCATTTCAGGATTGAACTTTATCCTTTGTGTCTGTCTGTCTCTGTCATGCTGCAATTGGCATTTGAAGAACAAGCATCACTTGAACTTATGGAGTAATGGTTTCATGTTGACTCTAATCAAGCTTTTGCAAAATTGACTACATCTTTGTTGTGGCGAGTATCAGCTCTGTTCAAGTGGTGCAAGCGTGTTTCCTCGCAAGCTGCAACCTGCAAGTTGCTCTTTATAAAGCTTACACAGTTCATTGCAAGACGCAAAACCACAAAATAAATGTTTTATCCCAGTTAGAGGTTCACAATAAATATTCCCATATGATTTCTTAGGCTTATCAACCCTTTGTTTTCACGGCAATTTGAGTCTAATTCTACCTCGACTGAAAAATCTAACTGAATTGTTGAAAAATTATAGTTGAGTATCTATATGAAAATATTATTGAAAATTTACATTTTCGTTCATGAAATTTTGATTTTTTCATAGTGGTCCAACATTTAGATGTCAGTTGGATGAGTTGGATCCACGAATCTTATTCATTTGTCAAATCTAGTTTTGACTCAGTTCAAAACCTTATCAGTATCTGATATTGCGGTTCTTCCTCTAGTTCTATAAAAAAAAACTTTGACTTTTTCAATTACTCCTAAATTATGGCAAGCTTAATCCCTTTATTATGATATAGAATGTTATGAGATTGAGTGGACGTGACAATTCAAATAATTATATTTGTATATAATTTTATAATCTTTTTTTATTATGACGTGTTTCGTATTATTCTAGGATATTTTGTTATAATAATTTTTTTTCGTAGAATATAATTATTCATTATAAGTGTTCTAGTTGGATTATGAATTGTATTGATAAATAATTAATATTTTTTGTAAGGGAAGAAATAGAATTCAAGAGGGAAAAGGAGAAGGTGAGAGGCCGAAACCTAGGATGAGAATGAAAGAGATTTGATTGTGTAACTTTATAAGTACGTATTTTTGTCTATATCAATAAATAAGAAGATTGGAACCCGTTCATATTTCTTTGCTATGTTATTTGTTTAGTAATTTCTTAATTATTTTTAAGTTGTTCTCGCTATCAGAAAAAAATCATTGAGAATTTGATGAAGTTATCTCAAAGTCCGGAAAACAAAAATCTCCAGCCCCTCAACACACTAACATACAGCACTTCAGGAACATCAAATTTCCTTTTGTCCCTCGAAAACTTGATCAAAATCTGTTCACAAAGACTTGATATGTTTTTCGTTTCTTCTCGCATTCAAGGAAATAGCGAAGATAGTAACACAGGTCAAAATGGGCCACCTGGCCCATACTTTAGTCTAGTCAGCCCCACAATGTAAGCCCACAGGCCGGAGCCCACGCCATGACGCCAAGGCCGAGAAAGAAAGAGAGAGAGCGCGGACAGTAATTAAATCGCATTTTCTTTGCCTTGTTGACTTGTGAGTAGTGGCTGCTCTTCAATCTTCTCCTTCCCGCCAGGACGACGGCTTTCGAAGTTTTCTTCCAACCCCCGGCAGCCGCTGGCGAAGTGCAGGTAACCCTAGCTTCTTAGGTCTCCGGTCTCGCCCTTTTCCTTCACTCCCGCTCTTTACCCAGTTCTCCGAACCACCTGAAACTGTAGGTAATTGGCCGTTACTCGTCTCTTTGCTCTTGTTTCTTCCGCGTTTTCCCATCTTCTTCTACTTCCCCTTTTAATCCATAATTGCCGTCATCTTATCACTGTAGCGTCCCAAATATTGGGGGAACTTTTGATGGGTAAGATTATTGATGAGTCAGAGGTGGAGTTTTATCCCGATGCTTCTGTACAATGGTCTGCTTCATCAAAGCGCAGAAGTAGCTCTAGGCTTAGGGATATCCCCGAGCAGAAGCGGCCATTTTATGGGGACAAACTAGTGAGCGGATCTCGTGAAGAAGTGGACGGAGAACAGAGACTTAATGTAACACCCAATGCTGATAAAGACGCAGAAGATATGGATGTGCCGGACATTGTTGATCTGGAAGACAGTTGTAGCTTCAAAATGGTTGACTATGATAGCTTTGTTACTGATAGTCTCAAACAAACTATGAAAAAATCCAATGGGGATTATCTTGATTTTGTTCAGGTGATTGCTTTCTCGCGGCTTCCTTTCCTAACCACGTCGTGTTTGTCTGTTGTTTCAGTACTGCAATGCTTGACAATGTGCAATTTGGGGCTTTGCCTAATTGTTTGCATCAATAGCTTCAAGTTTCCGTTGTTTACAGCTGTTCCTTATAAAAAATAATGTTCTATTCCATTCAAGTTCCATATATTTTGAGCTTAACTGAGAAATTCAGTTGATGGTAGGTCTTTTCCGCTGCCTTTTACTTACACAACAAATTGTTCGGCCTGCAGAAGCAGACAAAGCCTAGCAAAGGATCAGATGTGAAGGCGACTAACGAGGCAAGTTCTGACTATTTAGCCTTCTTCCGCCTGAAATGCTGAATCGTAAAACACATGCATATAGTTCTAGCAACCATAAAAATCTATTTTTTGTACCCATAATCATGAATTCACATAATACATTATCATTGAAGACAATCTTTGTGGTGTTAACATATTGCAATCCACCATCTATAGCTTACTTACATTCATTATGCTATTCTTCTTTTCTGTAATCACACCATTTTTGAAGATAACAATACCCCACTTGCTGCATTTAAACGTATGATTTTTGCATCTTTTATTACCCATTTCCATATTGGTTTGTTGTGGCAGATATTGAACAAAAAGGAAAATGTGAATTCCAATATGAAACTTGGCCTTCTCCCTGGTAGGTGAATCACCTTTGCCCTTTTTAGCTTTATGTTTGTGATCCTTGCTCAGTTGAAACTATAGAGCTCTACTCCTGGTGTTAATCTCATCTTCAAGCTACCGTTTTCTTGTGAATTTAGAAGTCCATATGATTCCAAATCCATTCATTTTCTAGCGCTGGCTCATGACGAATTCTTATATTGCAAAACAATTTTTTCTTATGCATGAATTTGATAGTAACATGCGAAAATACAATAACTAAGAGCAGTAGTTCTACATTATTGGTGCAGGCATTGTTGCCGGGCATAGATTCTTCTCCCGAGCTGAAATGGTGGCCATAGGTTTTCAGCAACATTGGTTGAGTGGAATTGATTACTTAAGAAAGCATTCTAAAAGATTGGTATTGTATCTTGAACGAGTTTTCTAGCCTACTATCAAGCTTTTCGTGTTTCTTCCCCTGCATTGATAATGCTTTGTCATTTTGCTTTCAAAAAGATCAACCTTATTATCTTTCTTTTACTATGCATACATGTTTCTATGTTCTCTTTCTTTTCCTTTGTTTTCTAACACTGACTTGGAACTAATGTATTGATAAAGCAAGGTGTGAACATATGTTGAGGAGATGCATTGTCTTTAGCTATCTTTTTTATGATCTCTCATCTGTTTACAATTCTTAATTCTTGGGGCTGGATGGTTTCCCATTTTTCCTAATTAAAAGACATATTAGTTGAGTTTATGGTTTCTTACTATTCAAGGTTTCTCATTCCCAAAGTTTAGTACTTCCTCAAAATATATTTTGACAATACTCTGTGCAGCCATCCCAAATACTGAATTTATTCTTCATTGTCACAGATGCAAAATGATCATATTCCTCATTTGGCGGTGGCAGTTGTGCTAGCTCACCCCTCTAAAGGTGACATTGACTGTATAAATGAAGTAGTCTTTACTCACCCAAGTGGGAATAAATTGCCTTCTAATAGGCATAGAGTGGAAAATCAAGCCATGCCGGATGCTAGTTTGGCTCTCAAGGTGTGGTGAGGCTTACAATTGCAAACTACTATTGCTGTGTTTCTATTCTCATGTTGCTTCATTACCACGTCTAGTACGCCACATAGTCAATTTCTTGCACATGTTAATTATAATGGGCTCACTAACTGAACCTAGGTGAAATTTCTGAATTGTTAAGGTCACGTCTCTTGTTTTGGTGCTCCATAATTTCAATTGTATATTTTGGATGGTTGAAGGCTGTTGTCTATTTTTTTTTTTTTTGTTGCATTGCAGAACAACATGGAGCAATGCATACCTGTAAGATTCATTTATGCAAATAAATGTTCTGATACGAATGGTTCAAATGAGTATACATACTGTGGATTGTACAAGGTTGGTACTCCGTTCAGTGGAAAATTTTATGTAATTTTAGTTATGTTCTTTCCCTTCATGATCTTGTATGTACCTTTTGCTCTCACATTCAAATTAAAGTTTCTAGAAATTCATACCTGCCTTCTACTCCGCAAGCAATGAATAAGATGTTACCAGTACCCACATTTATCTTTATTAAAAATAGTTCCACTCTCTTATCAAGGTTTTGAAGTGTTGGTCCGTTGAAGGTAAAAATGGACAACCTGTCTTCACATACCGTCTGAAGAAACTTTTAGGACAACCAAAGGTAAGCTCTAATCTGGTTTGTTCTTGTCAGCTTAGTTTGTTCACCTAAGTTGTTGTGTATGACTGGACCTATTTGCTGGTTTGGTTGTAGGTTACTATAGAAAGAGAAAGGCAGTCCACGTTTCCTACAAAATTGACAGGGTATGATATATAAAATATATTGTGCTCTTTTGTGAATATACTCAGCTTTAACTGGTGTAAGTGTTTATTTCTCAAGCTTGGTGTGTGAAGACATATCCTATGGTGAAGAAGCAGTAAAAATTCCTGTTACAAATACAGTCGATTCATGTCCTATTGGACCTCCAGGCAAGTTTATCATCGTTTGTTTGTTAAGAAAGCAAGTCTAGGCGTGGACTGAAATTTTCACTTACTCCTTCCTCAAATGACTTTCCTTGTATTTAACATAACACAGTGTTATAGTGCATTTCTAATGCATGCTGGTTACTTCCTTTTGCAATTGTCTTCGATGATCTATTATTCTTTAATCATGACCTTCAACTCGTTGTAGATTTCAAGTATACCAAGTCAATTCAAGTTGCAACTGACGTAGTCATTCCCCCATCTGCCCCTGGATGCAATTGCAAAGGAAATTGTACAAATCCAAAGACTTGTTCTTGCGCACAGCTAAATGGTTCTGATTTGCCATACTCAGAGCTCGATGGTGGCAGGTGAGATTTGAATTACTGGTTTAACAATGCCACTCGATATTGGATTAACTGCATTTATTTTCAATTCTCATATTTTGCCAATATTGTTCTTCATGGTGGAATTCTTCAGATTGATTAAAGCAAAAGACGTAGTATATGAATGCGGCCCTGGATGCAGTTGTGGATCCAAATGCATAAATCGTGTATCTCAGCATGGATTAAAGTTCCAACTTGAGGTATTTTTGCCACACAGCTTCCGTCGTTTGAACCAATGACTCTTCATGTGTCGTGTTCCCACTACTTAAAACTTGTACTTCTCACTAGGTTTACCGCACAAAGGTAAAAGGATGGGCTGTTAGGTCCTGGGATTTGATCCCTGCTGGTGCTCCGGTGTGTGAATACACCGGACTTCTCCGAAGGAATGCAGAAATGGATAGTGTTCATGATAATGATTACATTTTTGACATAGACTGCTTGCACACCATGCATGGGATTGACGGAAGAGAGGTACGTTAACCTAGAGGTCATGTCTTTGAATCATGATGAACAACAAAATTAACAGTTGATTTATGCACAAATGATATGATGAGTCTGTAAACTTCAGTCTCAGTAGAGTACTTCATGCCATTGTAATGAAAAGCCGTAATGTGTTAGTAGGCCTTGTTTTGAGTTTCTTCCCCCTTTTCTCTCATATTAGAACTATGTGCCTTACAGAAGCGAGAAGGTGATGTACCTGTAACGAGTGGAACACCAGAACAAGTTGATGCGACACTGCGAGAAAGCGACACTGAGTTTTGCATAGATGCAGGTTCTTCTGGCAATGTTACTAGATTCATTAATCACAGCTGCGAGCCCAACCTGTTTGTTCAGTGCATCTTGAGCTCGCACCATGATCTCAGACTGGCTCGGATAGTGTTGTTTGCTGCAGACGATATTGACCCGATGACGGTAATTAATACTTAACTGGGCAGTAGCTCTGCTGGTCTTGCCTTTCAGTTTTCCCTATATATAGATAGATAGATATTCTGCACATGGTGGATCACTGGATCACACTATTACAGGAGAACAATGGTAGTAATGAGACAGTATATGCTAAAGTTTGGTAATCTTGGTTGAAACAGGAACTTACATATGACTACGCTTACCGACTTGGCAGCGTTACTGATGAAGATGGCAAGGTAAAAGAGCTGGAGTGCCATTGTGGTACAAGCGAATGTCGGGGGCGTTTATACTGATGAGGGATCAGAGCACTGTTTTTTTAATCTGTCTATTCACCATTCAGTCAGGTAGGATATGGCCGTTCGTAGGATAGAAGTAGTAACAGTCTGTAAATGATTTTGCGCTGTAAGGACTTGTACCCTTTCAATATTCTTCCATTAATCCTCGAAGAACAAAGTGTATAATAGTGATTGCAGCAGCAGCAGCAGCTGGTTCTTCCTTTTCCAATAATAGAATGCAAGGCTTTGAGTAGTATTTTAGAATCTTGATTCTTGAACCATGGATGTCAAAAGGCGGAATAGTTCATATATAATATTGGTTGTTTGCTGGGTCAGGTGGAATCTGGTACGAAAGAGAGAAGTCAGAGAATGGTGTTTGGTCAAGTGTGCCGGTCTTTGTCTGCCACTTTTTCATTAAACCTTTTTTTCCAAGATTCAAGTGGAACGTTAAAGGTGGATTATTCTATTACTATGATCCGAATCAAATATCCTTCCCCACTTACTGAATGAGATGCCTGTAGTTTACAGTATCACCAATCATCGAAATCAAGAACAAATAACCTTAACTGATAGATGGTGACTTACTCATAATGCTTTGGCATTTTATTTTGAGAAAAAGTCTCAATTGGCCATCACAGATGTTTCAGAGAGGAAGTCTTCCCATTCGAGCGCTGACTCCATATGAGGGAAGTGTTTCTCTCCCTCTTCTCACTCCCTGTGTCAGTTTCGTGTCATTTTGCTCCTCAGAGTTTTCATAGAGCTGCCCACCTCGTGGCATAACAGGCTCTTTTATCGGGAGTCCGGTTGCATACGGACTATCGTTCTTTATTATTTTGAGTTTTATATTGTTGTTATCCGGTCATGCTCTAAGGGCTTATCTTGGATAATAAAAAAAATCATCGAAATCAAAAAAATTATACAAAACTTAAAGGGTAAATTGCAAGATTGGTCACTGGGGGATGGTGTTATGTGTATGGGAAGGTTTTGGGATTATATGATTTGGTCGAGAAGAAAGAAAAGAAGGGGCGTGGGAGACAAGACATCCCTAAACTTTGTTATTGCTTCTAGGAGCAAGTTAACTCCAATTATTATGAATAATTGGATCATTATAATGGGTTTTAGGGTTTGATTAAGTGATGGGTATTTGTTGGACTCGATCTTACGCATGGTCCTACTCGGACTCACAATAGAAAAATTGCATATTTTCATTAGGTGTCCCAATGATATTAATAAGGAAGAAGAGTTGGTTCTTGTCTCATATTCAACATAACACACTAGATTCGATTGAGTGGTTGTAATATTGGATTTTGATTTCAGAGATTTTAGTTTTAAATTGTGTAACATGCAACCTTCTTTCTCTCCTCTCATCCGTGTTGGGGCACTCATTTTTTCTATTTGTTAAAAGTGTAATATCCAACAATTTTCCTCCAATTTTTTAGTTTTTCGCTCTCCCGTTCGCAAGGTGTAAGTCAACCACGAGACTATGTCTAGGTATAAAGTATTAATCACATACTAGTGCTACTCAACTAACCATCACTCTAAGAATCTTAATCCTCAACTTTCTACCAAGCACCATGATACTTAGGAACTGACTTGTCTTTCTAGCAAACCACAACTCTAGGTTTGGATGCAAATTACTCAATATGTTTAGACCTATTTTGCGTGGGTGTTATGGGGCGGGTATGCATGGTTCTTTTTGTTGTCCCTCTTGGACTTGTTATGTCCCGTTTTTTTTACCTGTTTTTATCTAATTTTAATTATATATTTGGCCAAATTATTTATAGTTTAACTTCCCTTTGATGTATTTTTTTAAATCCAATGTAGCTATATCACTATTAAGGGTCTCCTTTTTTTAAAAAAACTCCCTTCATTTATCATATCATAATCTCCATTTTGTGAGGTGAGGGTTGTTCCTCAACTTTTTAATAAAATAATTAATTTATTGAATATTTTTTTGAGATGAAAATATGCATAGAACGCTCTGTCCTGGCCGACCTAAAGGAAATATACCTAGATTTTATTCTTTCTAGAGAGAAATTATATAAATATCATAAAAGAACCATCAAAAAGTCGTAAAGAGTTCAACAAAGACTCTTCAGAATAATCAGAAGAAGCAATCAGAAAGGGAATTATCAATGTAAAAATCATCCAATTACAATAAAAGGGACAAACATCACGTAACACAGGGCCATTAGAGGCTTTGAAAGCCATGTAATCAACTTCCTTAACTTCATGGCATCAATAATGAACCACTTTGTTGAATGATATGAGTCGTTAGCATGTAATTTGAGAGTTTACCATGATCACTATTTTAGAGAGTTTAGGAAGGAGATTTTTTTTTTGTTAGGATAGTACCAAGAGAAATTTGAGAAGTGAGGGAATAATGTGAAGAATGAATGTTATTTATAGAGTTGGAAAAAATACATTCGTTATAAAATATGTCTGTTGAAAATATGACCGTTGGAATTCAATTCTGATCGTTAAATGGAAGAAAATGTCATCTACAATTCAGAAAAAGCCAAACTTAAATAAAAAATAAAAGGAATAAGAAAAAAAAAACAAAAAGCGATCTCGCGCGTGCGGCCCAACCTGGGATCCGCTCTTTTCTGACCTCCTCCCTCCATTTGTCACGTTTCCAAGGAAAACTCACCCAAGTTTCCCACCCTTTCCTTTTCACGTTGACATCAACTTCCTATATGTTCCTCGAGTGCTCTCCAGTGTGAAGCTAAGTTTTCCTCCAAAGGTTGTGTGTTGCAGAAAGTGGGGGCGAGGAGGATGATTAACAATGGTGAGCTATGTGATGGGCTATATCTCTAGGAGCATTGCAGATGCGGAACATCATTATGAAGATAGTCGTAGTGCAAATGTTTCTAGCATAATGTCATCGACGAATATCATAGAGAATTGAGCATTTAGAATTCATCTTAACCCCAATGAGAACTTTTTTTTAATATTCTTTAGAAGAGACAACGACACAACATTAGAGATCAAAATTAAAAGGTATGAAAATAAATGAATTTGGAGAAGGCCTTTAGAAGATTTTAAGAAAGGGGATTGAGCTCCACTAATGAGGATTGAAAGCCTAGAAATTAGACTCTCAATAGTCGATCTTGCCCATTGTTTAATGAATCTCATAGCCTTCATCACTTTTTTCACAAACTTCCATGAAACTTTATCATATGTTTTCATCATGTACAACTTCATTAGAAAGTAAAACATATTACCCTTATTCTTTTGTTTCATATGTTTTCGATTGAAGCTATGTGTCAACTTAAGCATCAATTATTTCTTCATCCTTGTGTCCATAAGCATCCATACAACTTTATACTTGAAATTACAAACCATAATTGTTTGAGAATGGTGGATACCTTAAGGTGCTAAACCTTTGGAACAAGAGAAATGAAAGTGTTCCATCTCTCCCTCAATCTTACAGTTTGAAAAAATATTGAACGTCATGTGTAAAGTCACCACAAATCAGCGCCCATTGGTTTAAAAAAAAATCTTTCAGTAAAACCATCCAGGCTTGTGCTCTTTTGTTGACCAAGGGAGAACATCGTTTTTTTTTATCTCTGCTGGGGTGAATTGAGCAACAAATTTGTCATTCATCTGTTGTGGAATTGTGATTTGAAAATCCTGAAAAAATAGGTAACTTAGTTATCTCCCTTTGTTCCATGAACAAAGCGGAAAATAAATGAATTACATGAGTCATCAATTTATTTGGTACATCAATCCACTGCTGTCCATTCCTTTTAATCCCCCTATGAAGTTCTTATATCATCGTTGGATCACCACGAGATGAAAAATCAAGTATCTCCCCAGTGAAGAAATTTGACTCTTGAGTTTTGATCCCAATGAATCGCTTCATTTTCCAAAGAGATAATAGTTCTTCTTGACGTTTCTACTCACAACGTCTCATCCATAATTTCAAACAGCATCCTGCTGGTGTGCCAACTTTTTAAGCAAGAACTCTTTTTTTAGAACATTACAATTCTTTCCTACTCCATTTTATATATATATATATGTGTGTGTGTGTGTGTGTGTGTGTGTGTCTTTTACACATTTGAAGCTCATTATCGAGGCCATGTTCCTTATCCATGTCGCGTTGACCAATGGGTTGTACTTCTCCTACATTCATCTGTCTTCGAGATGAAAATAGGTTTCGTTTATGGTCCCTTCACAGTAAAGAGAGAACGAATGTGTTGTGATATGATCAATGTGAGTTTTATGCAACACTATGGCATAGGGAAATATTCTTATCCATTATAGATTTACCAAAGCTTGGTCAAGTCTCTCTAGGATGCCAGTTCCCCTTGTATGTCTGTTTGTCCAAACAAAGTCATCCGACCACAACTTGTCATAGGCTAAATATGGTTATTGAGGTATCTCCACCGACCTAGCCTTGTTGTCATTCATATCCCTATGTAAATCATATGAGCAGGCAACCTGAAAATAATACTTCATAATCCCTTTGTAAATCCACAGACTTGCACTACTAATAGGGAGTTCAAAATTGAAGATATTTTTTTATGATCTAATTCAAACTATCCATATTGACTCAAGCTGAAGTTGGAAGGCTCTTACAAACTTCTAGTCATGAACCCCTAATCCTCTTCCATCAAAGTGACCCTTCCATCGCCCAAATGACAAAAATTGATACATGCCTGATTGTAGGATGAATTATATTCCCATTGAGATAAATCAAATGCTTAATTTCATTATGAACGAGTGGATCAACCTCACAGCGTAATCTTATGGTTTCCTGAAGCCCCCAATTCGAATTCAATGCATATTCCCTAGCATTATCAATTTGGATTGGGCGAGAGCCCATGGGTAAGATCAATAAAAGCAATGGACTCTTGAGCTTTGATCCCAATGGATCTCTTCAGTTTTCCATTGGGATCACCAAGAAATGGAGAATCAAGTATTCATATCTCCCCAGTTAAGCCATCTGACTTTTGAGCTTGATCCAAATGGATCTCTTCATTTTTCCAAAGAGATAATAATTATTCTTGATGTTTTCTGTTGATAGCTTCTCATCCATAATTTCAAACACCATCCTGCAGGTCTGCCAACTTTTCAAACAATAACTTAATTTTTTGTAGAATATAAAAAACCTTCCTACTCCATTTTATTACAAGTTTTTTGCACAAACTCCTTTTCGAGTACCGATTCCTTGTCCATGTCTCATTTACCGATGTGTTGTACTTCTTATTTTGCATTTATCTTTGTTCAAGATGAAAAACAAGTTTT